GTATAACGTTTGTGTAATTATGGTGAATGAATAAGAAATAAGAAAGACTTATTGTTTTCCAGGAGGGATAATTGATTTCGTTGTTGGGTACACATAGGATAGGTCAAGAGAAGTCGAGAGACAAGAGAATTGATATGTCATACAAGTGAATGTAAATTAATTTTGACAGTTCGATGTAAACAAGGTTTCATCGAGGATGAACAGGTTCATCACTAATTGACCAAGTTCCTATATTCCAGAACAGTACTGCCCAGTATATTGTATCGTTCCGATTTTACTGAAATTTACTGGCAATGTCTTCGTGCAAGTAACCCTGTTAGAGGTCATGTTCTGATATTGCTGACATAACTGGCCATAGTAAGCAATTTAGGAACACTAAACAGTAGCAGTAGCTCTGAATTTTCATCTCATTTCAGAACGATTATGGTAGTGCTGGTTTTTATTTTATTATTCTTCACTCACGTTGAAATTATGGATGGAGTGATGAATCATATTATCTTAGAAGACATATTATCCGATAGTGATTCTGATTCATCAGAAACACAAATCTCTAGTACCTTTAGTTCCAGTGATGAACAAATAAGCATAGCTGTGAAATATTTGATATCAAAAGTGGGAATAACAAACCATTTTTTAGTTTAGTGGCAGTTTCAGCGTCTACTGCCACTGTGAGATCTTCCAGTTCGACATACATTTTCCCAAAGTATTTGAAAATAATAATATATTCATTATTCCAGATTTTTTGGGATTTTCTCTCCTCGTCTCAATAAAATAAAAAATAGAAATATGAATACTATTTCAATATACGTGTAGTTAGGACAAATCAGATGATTTGCCCCAAAATGTCACTGCGTTCAAAGAATGTTCCTATCAGAGAGCCTAAAAGAAGAATTCACTAGCTTGTCAGTGACAATTTGTATTGAAAAAGGTTTGGGGAAGAGAAATAAAGGTATATATAGAAAATATCAAATTTTTACTCATCTTTGGACGTTTCGGGAACAAATCTGCTACCGTTTTCAACATAAAAAATGGATTTTTTGTATTGAAAATTTGTATTTGTCCTGACACTTTTCAGTTTTCAGTGAAAATTGTTATCATTGATTAATCTTGAATTTACCATTCTCATTTTCAGATTTTAGTAGTGAATACCATATTCTATCTATATCAAGTGAACAGGAAGCAATGCTATTGTCTACGTTCGGAAGAATACAATCAGATTCCTTGGTTTTTCTCTTCTGTTAGAATTGATCTCATTGTATTTTCAGTTTTGAACACAGTTTTCACTTGAAATTTATCACCAACACGTTTTATATTATCAGATATGCCGGGAATGTATGGTATTATATGAAGAACAATCGTCAAAAAATTGTATTTACAGTATACCTTGTGTTTGTGGAAAGTATTATACAGGTGAATACTGGCACTACATCATAATTTCTGCACCAGTGGCCAACAGTAAACTTCTAGCCTCTAACAGGGTTTCATGCAATGACCCCCAAAAACGTTGCAATCAGTATATTTCAGTAAAATCAGAACGATAAAATATATTGGGAAGTACTGTTAGGGAATATTGGAACATGCTCAGAGGCAATATAGTGGTGCAATATTGCTGGACAATAAAATGCAATATTCACTCAATTTAATCTGATATTGATGCAATATTTTTTCCAAGATTGATTCGATATTGAAGATACAATACCAGCCCATCATGAAACTTCACATATTGTAATCGTTGATATTACGCCAATATCAAATAGATATTGGCAAATAAATATCGGTTGGTCACAAAATGTTTATGTCATTACAACATTGGCACTGGTTCGATTAGAGAATATCGAAATGAAAAATTGCTTTGATATTAGGACAATCTAGTAATTCCATGTTCAATATTCGAATATTGGGCTAATGTGAAACCAAGTTATAGCTAATATGATGTTTATTAATAGCTATCAATAATACGCTGCATAAAATACTATTTTGCGCTTTTCTACAGATAACAATAAAATCCTTGTACGTTTGGCGAAATATGGAAACCCCAGCCAGGAACCTATCATATTATGGAAATTCCATATTATACTGAAATGCATTAGAAATATTGTACCCAAAAGTGAGATAATTGATTAGCTAAAACGCGGCGAACAAAAATTTTCTAAACATCACCAACATATATTATGAGTGACTTACGTAATAACATAGCATTATGTATTTCACACATGTACTACTGAAATACTCGCCTTGAGACGTTTCAACAAATTATTTGTATACACGATTATAACGAGATATTTCGTTTGAGTGAAAACTAAAATATTTGTGTTTTCTCTTTCAAACAATACGTCGGATGTGTGTTTTTCTTGTTCAGTTGCAGAATGAGTTGGGATTGGGAATGAAGGGTTTTTAGGGTTTTGTTTTAACAAGAAGCCTGGAACCATGCAAGCAGGTCATGGATGCGTTTCGAGTTTTTTAGGCACTTTATTGTTTTTTTCCGTATTTTTAGTTTTAATTTTAATAACCCTCAAAAATAATCAAGTATTTATTTCATGTGAAATACAGCAACGCGTTTATAGGAACAACATTGGTTGAAGAAGGGTTTCGGAGAAATAATGTTTTTGAACATATTAGACCAAAACTCAAGCCTGTATTTTCTCTAGAAAGGCGGAACTCAGTTTGCCCGATATTGTAATGTCTGGCACCACCATCCCCACCAAGCCCACCATATCTATGCTCGGTATTTCCATCAGCAACGCTTTCATGGGATAATCATGTCAGATCCATCGCAAAAGCTGCTTCACAAAAACTCGGATTCTTGTTCCGTGCGAAAAACTACTTTACACCTCAACAGCTTCTCATGATCTACAAAGCGCAGATACGGCCTGTTCTAGAATACTATTCCCACATATGGGGTTAAGCACCAAAACATCCGCTGATGCTCTTAGATTCCATCCAGAGAAGAGCCATTCGCCTGGTGGGTGACGCCACACTCACATATTCTTTGACATCATTGGAATACCGTATATAGAAAGGTCGGCGACCATTCACTTTTCTATCGATACTTCCACGGGAAATGTTCTTCGGAAAGCTCTGCTATCATCCCTTCACTAGCAATACCAGTGAGACGAACTAGACAAGCCCAGTCAGCACATCCTTTCGTTGTCAACCTCGAAAGATGTCGAAACAACACTTTATCAAAACTCCTTTATCCATAGAACGGCTAGGCTCTGGAATTCATTACCTGAGGAAGTATTCCCAACAACATATAATCTCCAGAAGTTCAAAAAAAATTCCAATACCTACCTCCTGTCCCTATCCTACCTAGGAACGCTCGATGTTCTTTGAACATTATAGGGATTTCCTTTCGTGCACTCCAAGCGATAAAAAAATACAATTTTTTTATGCAAGGACGAACAGAAATTGAGTAAATTCCGAGGTTTTATTACCAACAATGCGAAAAATTAACTAAGGATTTATTGTTTTCTTCTCTGAGGTAAAGGATGTTGGCGTTGGAGGAAGTATATTAATTTTTATTTTCATGATCAGCCTGTATAAGCTTTTATGATGGATGTTCAGATCTATAGGTCGCGTGCACGATGACCGACCCTGGAGGCAAAATATTGAAACACAACCTCACTTTTTTTATTTGTTTACAGAGGAATCAAATTGTTATAGTTTTTCACAATATTTTGGTATACGAATTCTTTTCTTGCACTATTCATTAATTCAAGCATGCCTTCGCATTATGCTGTTGTACAATGCACAAAAAATGCAGCGAGAGACGAAGGAATATGATTTTTCAGGTAAATAGTTATCTCACATAGTTTTCATTATGAAATGTTGTCATTCTTTATTGAAATTCCTTCTGCCACTTCTGCAATACAATCTGATACTGCTAATCGATTGAAAATGTCTGCAACACACATGATCTTATTTCCCCCGTTTGATTGCATGAATCCAATCTTCTTGCATTATTTCAGAAATTTCACGAGTATTAACTATAAGCTCCTATTGCAGAGGGAATTCCGATGAGAAGTCAGAGGAATTACCAAGTTTCAAAAATGAAAACTATGTGAGTGACTATAGTAGTTACCGGATTCCTTCGTCTTCCGCTGCAGTTTTTGTGCATTGTACAACAGTACAATGTGATGGCATGAGCGAATTAATGAATAGCCGAAAAATATCATTCGTATGTCAAAATAATTGTGAAAAACTATTCCAATCACTTGTAAACAAATAAGGAAAGTGAGGTTGTGTTTCAATGTTGTGCCTCCAGGGTCGGTCATCTGACAGTTCTTGCACGCAACCCATACGATAATGACAAATTGAGGTTATTGAGTAATCTCAAGATAAAAATAACACAATGAATAAGGAAGTTGTATATGCTCATTTTGTTCAATGTAACGAAAATAACAACATTAGATAATTAGTGGAGTACAATGATATAAACTTTGGGCGTGAAATTGGAATGAATTTATGTTTCACATGGCAAACAAGCAGATTTAACGCCGCGGCTGGCGTTTCATAGCCGAAGCGGCGAGCAAAGCGGTGCTTTTCTGTCTAGTAAAACAAATAACTAATGAGTAATTGATAAAACAACGACTTTAATGAAACCATGAATCTCAGAATTTAAGTAAGCTAGGACCGAGGCTAGGACAGATGTATATACGAACGAACCTCTTTTCATAGATTATGACAAGAAATATAATGATAATAATAATGCATTTGACATCTTCATCTAATATCAGAATTTATATGGAAAACAGTTAATTGAAGGTACAGCAAATGAAGGAGAAAACACCATAAAATGGTGGAACCTTGTGCATCCCACTTGCACTGATTTATTCACACCCTGTATAATGCTCATGAGGACCATGGTTCACGAATGTACAGGCATAACTACTTTACTTTATGTCAACAAATGCGTAACTCGATTATCATTCATTATAAGTGCATATTATTAATCCCTCAAGTTTTCACCAAGGTGGGATTACATCTCATAAAATATAGAAGTGACACTTCGGTATAGTCGTTACATTGTGATCAGTGGGCAATGGTGCCTAAATAAACAATGAAAACACTACTGGTAAGAGATTATTGTTACTCAGATCGAATCGATCGATAAGGATCTAATAATTATGGAATTATATTAGTATAATATATAGGTTAGGTAGGTCTTTGATGTGACTAGTAGCTCAAAGTTTGTCTTGTAAAATAATCAATTTAAATGAGATAACATCATAACAATCTTAGAAAGTTGATAATCATTAAATAATAATCATGTATAATTAATTATAGATGCAGATTTTCAACAAAGAATGTATCTGGTGTTGGCAATATGGGCAATTACACTTTTTTTTTTAAATTGGATAAAAAATATTACAAACCAATTTTTCATGACAACTATTTTTTTTTTTTAGGCTCTGAACATGTTGAACTTTTGAATTGACTCGGCCGTCACTTGATGGAAATTCATAGCAAATGTAAAAACTTCAAAAAAACTTCAACTTCAATCAAAATTTCATCGTTTGTGAAGTTTTTACATGCTGAACTTTATCGTGAAGTGATAGCCGGTAACTCATTATTCACGATTATCTTTTTAACAAAAAAAAATCGATCAAGGTGGGCATATTGTATTCACCTACCTCATTATAACATGTCAACATTTTCAGCTGAATATTTTAGCACACTGTATAAACTGGTTCTTGGATTTTTCTCACCTGATTGTCGCTACTACTTGATCAAAAATATTTATATCTCGATTACAGACTATTTCAACATTCCTCCTGATTGTGTATGGGGAAGATACTGATACTGAACCAGGATACTTCTACCCCTCACCCTCAATACAAGAAACTCCCCAAACCAACCCACTCACAGAAAACATCGACATAAACAGATTCGTCTACTTCTTCAAAGCACCTCCATCTGAAAAGAAGCCAATCAAAAAACCAGTCATCAAGATACCACCACCCAAAAAGAACTACAAGATCATCTTCATCCAAGCACCTGAACCTCCAGCACCAGTACTACCAGAGTTGCCAGTAATCCCCAAGGACGAAGAGAAAACTATTGTGTATGTGCTGAACAAAAAGCCCGAGGAACAGCCAACAGTATTCCTGCCAACTCCTAAACCTACCAAACCGACTTCGCCGGAAGTTTATTTCATCAATTACGGTTTGCAAAAGAACAGCACACCAGCAGAGCATCATCCACAAGTCTCTGGGGAACCTGAAGCTCCTACAACTGATGAAAGCCCGAGGCAATATATAACCCCATCAACAGAAGCCCCTAGCAGTCCCTCGTTCAAAATCCCAAGTCATTACTTGCCTCCAGCTCCTCAGTACGGCTTACAAGGCACACTAGACATTCCCGAAGCTCCTACAACTGATGAAAGCCCGAGGCACTATATAACCCCATCAACAGAAGCCCCTAGCAGTCCCTCGTTCAAAATCCCAAGCCAGTATTTGCCACAAGCCTCTCAGTACGATTCACATGGCACAGTAGACATTCCTGCAGAAGCTCTTCCTAAGAAATCAGAGCTTAGTAGTTACTTGCCCCCCAAAACATCTTATGGGGTGCCAATAAAGAAAGAGGTGTTGAACAAACCATCCGAGGAACAGCCAACAGTATTCCTGCCAACCCCACAAGTCTCTGGAGAACCTGAAGCTCCTGAAACTGATGAAAGCCCGAGGCGATATATAACCCCATCATCGAAGGCCCCTAGCAGTCCTCCGTTCCAAATCCTCAGCCAGTACTTGCCTCCAGCTCCTCAGTACGGTTTGCAAGGCACACTAGACGTTCCTGCACAAGGTTTTCCTGAGAAATCGCAGCCTAGTAGTAGGTACTTGCCTCCGAAAACATCTTATGGGGTGCCAATAGAGGAAGAGGCCTCTTCAAAGTTGTCTACTAAGAATTCATATGGAGAGCCGATAGAAACGGATGATTCTTACCAAGGTCAAGTGCGAAATAGTAGATCGGCGTTGAAGACAGTTGAAGGTTTCGGAACATCTGAGCCATATTATTATTTTCAAAGAAAATCGGCTGTGTAGTTGATGTGATATGAGAATTGTTGAATGAATGAATGAAATCAAAAAGATCTAGGTATGTACCTAGTGAACACCAATTAAGGAAAATAATTCTTAGAAAGTTCAAGTATTTCCATACAGATACAGAATGATTGCAATCATTATCAGGAGATGTTGTAAATATGAATATATTTTAGAAACGAAGTTTCTGAATATTTTGGAGTCGGAGCTCGGAATTCAGGATTCAGCCATGATATTGATGACACAAATGATATTTCAATAGATAATTACGTTGCATCTTTTCAAGATATTTTATTTTGATTGGCTGTAATTGAAAGCTGTGTAATAATGATCAATCGATCTATCTTCTATCTACGGTATGAAAACAATACACAAGCACATGAAAGCAATGTAACAATCGAGTTCCGAAAAATATAATCTCATTTATAATTCACATCAGATGATTTTGATATGATTTTTATGGAGATTCAAACACGCTTGAATTTTTTATGGACCTAGATTTGTCTGATTCAACCACTTGAATATTTAATTCGAGATGAATTTCTCTATAAATTATGGAAGTATTTTGTAATGTATAGATAACCATTTATACTTACTAAAGGAGTTTCATTATTTGACCCACTTCATAACATCTGTTAGTTTGAGTCACTTACCTGAAAAAAAAAAAAGAAATAGATGAAAATTTGCACGTCAATGGTGATGGAAAGTAATTATAATGGGTAATAGGAATTATTCGATTACCAAGATATATCGAATATAGTTATTTATTATACTTAGGGAAAAAGTAGCAGATTTTAGCTCGAGGTTGTGTGGTATCCCGACGCGTAGCAGAGGGAAACAAAAAACCGTGAGCTAAAATCTAATATTTTTCCCGAGTATAATACACTATTTTGCAGGAAAAAGGACGAATCGATATTGAGAAGTGTAATTTGTCGTTCTTAACAGGAATTACACCTGATGCGTTGCAGGCATCTTCATCATTCTTTCGAAGTAATCAAATACAGGGTGTTTCACAGGTAAAGGGAAATATTTCAATGGTAGATAGGGGTCACCAAGGTGGTTATGAAAATACCATATTTGATATACGTCTTCATAACGGAGATACAGGGCGATTTATCGATTTCGAATATTTATTAATTCGTCTATATGTATTGACCTACCCAGTATATTTTTCTCAAATTTAATGAAGAGCTTATACTTGGGACGTTAATTTCATTCACCTATCGGGTGGAGTGAAAATCCAGGTTCGGCTTCAGGAAAAATTTTCATTTATTCGCAATATTAAAATAACACACTGTATTTAATAATTAACACAGTACAGTGAAGAGGAGGAAAAACCGTTTTCCCGCCACCAATTCTCATCGTAACAATCATAAACAGAAAGTTGAAAGTTTGTCAATTTGAAGAGAATTGAAATTATGAAACCAGTGTCAATTATGATTATTCGATATATTTTAGTCAAAAAATCGCTCGAAAGAACTTACTGAGTCTCACAGTATTTATAATGGAGATACAGGGTGAATTACTGAATTATCGGTTTTGAATAATTATTCACTCGTACTTGGGACGATGGATTCATTAACCTATCAGGCGGAATGCAAATAATACCAAATAATTATAATTCGATAATTCACCCGGTATCTCTGTTATAAAGGCCAAGTAAGCTCAATACCAAATTTGAGAAAATATTACTGCGATGGGTGGTTTAATCTCGGGTTTAATACTTATGGACGAGTGAATAATTATTCGTTCGCTGGAAAATCAACCCCTGAAATCTTGATACTGAATTTTGAAACACCCTCTATATACCCTGTGTTCTATTCTGAGAGTATTTTTTTCAATAACTCAATATTGCATGCATGCCCTACTCACTCGATCGAAATAAGCGAAACAAATCTAAATAGTTTAGAATTTTGATTGACCTCGTATAACTCCAATTATGACGAAGTCATCTGCAAGAGCTGGAATGAATATTAAACCATATAAAAAATATTATTATCCTTATTAGCACACCAGTACTGAGACTAGGTCATTACATAATCCAATCGAAATAATAACGATGACCATACCCAAAAAAAAACGCAAAATACTACAGAATGCTCTGCTCCACTCACTTTTACTTTCACCCAAGATTCTCGTTACAAGTCACATATTAACCTATAAAAAAATTGATGAGTCCCATTAGCGGCAATGGCTATATCTTAAACGATTTCGAAATACTTATCACAATTATTGGAAATTTTATCGACGCGACCAAATAATTGGCCAATTATAACAAAATCGATCATTGAAAATTCTAGCAATAACCCCATTTCTTTATAAAAATTTATAATCGATTCAAAAACGAATTGACAATTTATTTTGATGCTACTTGCTTGACTGTTTGAGATTACAAATTTTGAAAATGTAAATTCAATCCCTATACTCAATGCTAGGCACTGATATTGATGAATCAGATTAATATATCATTCCTTCAAAACTTTACAATCAATCAAGACGGATTAATTTCTTGAACATTCATTGAATCAGGAATTAGGAATTATTATTTAGGCACACATTTCTCTATACTGAATTGGGATTTACAAAAAAAAAAACAATCTAGTAAAAAAATATGTCATTTATTTGTCACCGTATTATTAAAGCTATACATAACATAAAAAAAATAATATCATATGAAACCCTAATCATATTGCTCATATTTACAAAAAACTGCAGACATGCTTATACAACTGAGTGAACAACAAACATTTATATCACATCTCGAACGGACCACGGATAGCATCCAACAACTCAACGACTAACTTCAAGTCATTCTAACCCGTAAAAAAACTCATACCAGTTCGACTTGACTTAGTGTTGGTAGCCGGGAGGACCGTATTTGGAGGAAACTCCTCCAGAAGTACCGCTGACACCACCAGAAATTGATCCGGAGCCATGAGAGCTAAGAGTAGCGTCGCTGATTGAACCTCCGCTGATCAAGCCTCCGTCAATCGAACCTCCTCCAATGGAACCTCCACCGCTGATCAAACCTCCTCCAATGGAACCTCCTCCGCTGATCAAACCTCCTCCAATGGAACCTCCTCCGCTGATCAAACTGCCTCCATCAACACCACCTGCAGAAGCACCAATACCGCCAGACACACCATCCTTCCTGGTGTTGTACTTGATGAAGTAAACCTCCGGTTTGGTAGGCTGGGTGGGCTGTGCTTGTGGCACCACGATCTCTGGCTGTTCTTCTGGCTTCTTCACCAACACGTAGACCAAGGTCTTCTCTTCGTTCTGGGGCTGCACCGGGATAACTGGAGCCTGCTGCCTTGGCGGGGATGGGGCCTTGATGAAGATGATCTTGTAGTGCTTCTGTGGGGCTCCCACGACGATGGGGCGCTGCGGGCGGATCTCCTCGGGCTCTTCGGGAGCCACGTGGACGTAGACGTGCTTGTGGACGGAAGCAGGGCCGGACTGGATGACCGAGGGGCCCTGGGAGTAGCCGGAGGCATAACCCTGGCTTCCTGAGAAGCCTTGGCTTACTCCTGAGAATCCTTGGCTGATGCCCGACAAGCCTCCTTGGCTGATGCTAGAGTAGCCTCCCTGGCTGATGCCGGAGTAACCTCCTTGACTGAGGCCGGAGTAACCTCCTTGGCTCAGTTCAATGCCGCTGCCGGAAGACGAGAAGCCTCCGAGGGAGAGACCGGAGGAGGGTGACCCGTATTGATGGGAGGGGATTTGGATGGGGCCGTTGGAGGGGGCGCCGTATTGGGAGGAGGGAAGGGGAGCAGGAGAGGGGTAGTTGTAGCCCACTGGTGGTTCTGGGCGAGCACATACTACGGCCACGAGGGCTGAAATTAGCTGGAAAAAAAATTATGAAGTTTTAAGGTTAGGTATATTGATGTGGGAGTTTGAGAGTTTGATTATTTCTTCGTCATAATGGAGATATTGAAAGCAGTGCAGGATTTAGATGAGTGGATTGTTCTGTAGCTCGAATTGAGATGAGCTATTTCACATATGAATATACAATATTGATGTGATGAGAGCTTCAATGAAATATTCGAAAATATTGAGATCCAACGTTTGGATTTTACAGAATTGATTAGTGGAAATTTTATGTTTTACAAAAATTATGATTTTTTTAAACGAAGTTGTAATTGCAGTGGTCATATTCGAATAAAATCAACGAAACTAAGTATCAAAGTGTCAACTAATTTGAGAGCCAGTAGTGATGATTTCTTTCTGATTCATGATATTCATGCACATTTATCAGGAACAGTTAATTGACATGAGTAATAATAAACTGATTTCAATCCTTGAGTGACTAGAACTCTTTCACAAGGATCAAGATATATCTTGAATATAATGTTTCAAAGTGAAGAGAAAAGACGTCAATTCTGATTGATCAGATCCTTATGAAAGAATTTACTAAAGGCCATCGTTTTCAAGATATACAGGGTTTGGAAACTGAAAATGAATATTTCGACTTCCTTGTGATACTTGAACAAGAAATGTTGCATGAAATTCTGGCCCCCTTGCTAGGGTAGTTAGAACACTGCAAAATAAGTTGGATTGGCTCAGTAACAAAATGACGTAACGACATCCGTTTCCAAGATACAAAGTGTTGAAAAAATATTTTTTCAACACATTTTTTACGATTAATGTCAAATCTACTCGCAACATTGTAATTCAATTTTGTATGGAGGTGTTATTGAAGCTGACACATCGCAAGAATTTGTTTTTATATCTCACACTCATAGAGGGCGCTAGATACACGGTGCGTATAGAGTAGTTTTAAACATAACTTTTTCGAGGTTAGATTATTCAATCCAAAATTAATGTGAGCTTGAACATCATCCAATTTTACACCAAAAAGTACTACTGGTGAAACTCGATACTATGTACCGTTTTCGGAGATTTTCGATTCGAAAATGTTGAAGTGATAACTGTTGCTGGTATGAAGCTATGTATTAGATTGAGTATTATGAAAAACTATCACCTTTTTATTAAAAAGCGAGAACCACAAAACATTACTAATCAATCAAACAATTGATCACAAGAATACTACAGAAATAAATTTGACTAAAAACATGGATTATACAGTTGTGTTGTATCTCAAGGAAAAAGTTCATGCTACAGAGGTAAATTCATGTTGAAAGTTGCGAGACCAAATTGAAAATCACTTAAATGACCTAACAATCTGAATGAATAGGAAATTGTTCTCAATAAAACTTATTTTATACCAGCATCACGTATTACTCCATTATTTTCAAATCGAAATATTGCGAATTGAATGATGTTCGAGTTCTAGTTCGAAATTTTGACTAAAATATCTAATCTCAAAAATGTTATGTTTGAAATTAGTCGTTATAAACCGTGTTACTACAGCGCCCCCTATGGGAGTAAGATATAAAAATGAATTCATGGGATGTATCAGCTTCCAGAACGTATCCATACAAAATTTCATCACAATGTTGAGAGTAATTTCGGCATAATCATAAGAAAATGTGTAAAACAATGTTATTCTCAACACCTTGTATCTAAAAAACGGATATGGTTGCCACATTTTGTTACTGAACAAACTCCACTTATTTTGCCATGTTATACCTACTAGGACAAGGGAGTTAGGATTTTTTGAAACACCCTGTATAAGTATTATCTAGAGGAATTTTTAGCTTGTGGCTCACGTGGATAACAACACGAAATTTTAGCTAAACGGTAGTTTCCTATAGATGGAGGTTTTTCAGATAATTTCAAGAAAACGAAAAACCATACAAATTTATTGAAAAAGCAGCTCGAGAAATGAATCTGAAATTTCTCATTGAAATTACTCGATATACAAAAAAGCTCATTATATTCATGTTAAAAAATTACCCTGTAGCACGAAAGCGAGACGTTTTTCAATAAAAATAATCAAAATTTTTCTGAAATGAGTGTAGTTTCCAAAAGTTTATTGGTCTCAAAAAAATTGAATCACTTTGTATGAATATCGAAAACTGAAAACTAAATCATCGCTAAGTGAATAACTGAGTTATCGATTCCAAAATCACTCGAATATGTTCTTGACTGTTATTCGAGGAATAATCATGCTAAATACCGCACGTGCATGTGAAAAAATATTTGTTTCTTTCGACTTAGCGTCTACCGTTGTCACCAATCTCCCGATTCTGTATCATCCACTGCACACTATCGAAATAATGATAATAATGAAATGTGAAAGGAGTTCATCCGCTTAATGATTCCGCACTTCTTCACGCTAATCAACACTCTAGCAAATCACTGCGACCACTCAGATGAGCGATTTCTCAACGTCTTCCGCCGGTCTACTTACCAAAAACGGTCTCATCTTGGCTCGTGATGGACTGTACGGTGATTGACGATAACACCAAAAAGTCGAGTAGTTTTTATAGGCGAATCGCGATCACCCCTCCTTGGAATGGAAGCGTACTATACTCGGTACTATCGTTCTAGTCGGATTTTTAATTGATTTTCTGGATGACGTAAACATAACTAATAAGTCGGGCACATTGGCATTGAGCATTTGCAACGTTGAAAAGATCTGACCATCACCGGACCCATCTGTCTACGAAAATTTCCATCATTTGGGAAATGTGTTTACCGATTACCAAACATCTACTTATAGGTAAGTTGTACCTACTTACGGCTGTTATGCAAACATCTATTAGGAAGCCAAACCCTTTTATTCCAAATATTCAGGCATGATAGATGATACCTTCAAGGTTTTATTGAAATGCGGCTCATTTTGAATCTGTATACTTGAAGCATTATCGCGGAGACTGTCTCGCTGGAACAAAATATAGTTTTTCGGCAACCCTACGGGAAGTACTCACTTCCCGGACGCTTTTTCTTTGAGAAAGTTACATTTTTCCGGGAAGTATCACATAAACTATCGAAAGCAGCAGCGATAGTGAGTTTGGAAATGTCGATACGAAATTTCCAATGTAGCAGTCAGTAGGTATATAGGTACCTATTCTGTTCAAATTTCTGTATTTGATACAAATAAGAATTAATAAAGAAGAAATGGTATTCCACAAAGAAATATAATATGGAAATGTATCTCATCGAATTGTTATTCTACATATGATTGCCGAAAAAATTATGTACGCAGCACGTCCAAAAACATTTTTTTTGGGCTCGCAGACTTCCAGGACTCGCCTACGGCTCGGCCTAGAATTTTGTCTACTTGTCCGAAAAAACAGTATTTTCCGGACTTGTTACGTAAATTACTATTTTCCTAACTAGCTACAACATAGGTACTCATTACTAAGGGTTGCCATCCCTAAAATTTGAAAACCAGGACAAGGCTATTTGAAAATCCGGACAAAATCCGAACAGCGTGAATTTTGAAAACTCGAAATAGTTATTTATTATACAAGGGAAAAAAGTAATAGATTTTAGCTCCAGGTTGTGTTGTCTTCCGACGCGTAGCGGAGGGAGACAACAAACCGTGAGCTAAAATCTAATATTTTTCCCGTGTATAATACACTATTTTTTTCTGTGACAGAAGAAAGGACGAATCAATATTAAGAAGATATTACATTATTTTGAAATCTGAAAATTATCGACGTGAAATTTTAAGTTCTTAACAGTAGGGTCACCGCGTTGTTGTAGGCATCTTTATCATTCATTTGAAGTAATCAAATATCTGATGTCACTTCTGTCAGTCTAATTCTGTAATTTGATTTCAAAAAATTGCGAATTTTGTGATTGTCTACTAATATTCGTAACCGCGAAGTCGAATGGAAGATAAAAGGACTAGCAGTTCTTTCTCGCAGACGGTATTATTGACTCATTTTTCGGAACAACAAAAGCCATCAACAGTGTATATATATGTTTTTTCTGTGACGGGAAAAAAGTTTGGCATTTCATCTCTGTTGGCAGGTTATAAAATGTCACTTTTCATAAATTACTTTTTTCCCGTGGGAAAAAAGTGAGTACTTCTTTCCCGGATATATATCACATATATATACTCTGTTAATGGCTTTTGTTGTGCTATAGTTCCGAAAAATGAGTCATTAATACCGTCTCCGAGAAAGAACTGCAAGTCCTTTTATCTTCCATTCGACTTCGCGGTTTCGTATATTACTTAACAACTACTGAATTCGCAATTATTTAAAATCAAATCACAGAATTGAACTGACAGAAGTGACATCAGATATTTGATTACTTCAAAAGAATGATAAAGATGCCTATAAAACGCAGGTGTCCCTACTGTTAAAAACTTGAAATTTCATGTCGATAATTTTCGTATTTCGAAATAATGTAATATCTTCTCAATATTGATTCGTCCTTCCTTCTGTCACAGAAAAAAATAGTGTATTATACACGGGAAAAATATTAGATTTTAGCTCACGGTTTTTTGTCTCCCTCCGCTACGCGTCGGGAGACAACACAACCTGGAGCTAAAATCTACTACTTTTTTCCCTTGTATAATAAATAACTAAATATATATCCGGGAAAAAAGTACTCACTTTTTTCACACGAGAAAAAAGTAATTTATGAAAAGTGACATTTTATAACCCGCCAACAGGGATGAAATGCCAAACTTTTTTCCCGTCACAGAAAAAATAATTTTTTGTAATTCCAAGAATATTTTTTTTTAGAGTTTGTTTGATAATACCTATCAAACCATAAACTACGAAGTCTCATTTTTGATCATAATAAAACAATGTACCTATCTACTATATTTCTACTCACATTCATTTTAATTTACAGTGTGATTGTTTATATTTTACTCAGTTAATATTGGTGTTGCAGAAACGTTCAAATGGGCAAAAATAATAGTTATTTATGTATCAAAGGTGCAAAGGTATCCATTTCCATCCACGCA